TTTTTTTTTTTTTTTTTTTTTTTTTTTTTTTTTTTTTTGGCTCTTTGTTTATTGATTTTTACTTAGTTAAGCATTTGAAAACAAAGTGCATTTTCAGCACAGCCTTGTCACCAAACTGGATGAAGGAAACTTATCCAACAACAATTTGATATGAACAAGCAGACACTTCTTTATTCAGCTTGTTGGGAACATGGGAGAATTCTCCTCCAAACGTGTTCCACTTAGCAATAAAATTCATTCATTTTTATACCTTTCTGTTACATAAGCCTGTTCTTCCATTCATTTTTATACTTTTCTGTTACATAAGTCCATTCTTAAATGTAACTGTTAAAATGATCGGCTCCATAGGTTATATGTCTTTATCCAAAACCAATTATTGCTCAATTCTAATTAGCTGTACTGATTGGAATCCTAGATACTCAGATCAAGATGGGGAGGGTAAGGAGATTTCCAAGCAGTATATACGGTCCCGTAACTTCTTGGTGAGGTATCCATGGTTGCATACCTCCAACACAGCAGTCCTAACAATTCTCTACATTATGCTTCACAATTTTCTACCTTTAATCAAACTACTCCTCTTATATGATCAGATCTCAATTATTTCACTGCAACTACTTCTATATGATCAAATCTCCTTGTGGTGGTGCGCTTAATCAAACAGTTGGGCACACAATCTGCTATTTTTGAGTGCAATTTGTTAATATTTACCACTTTCTTTTTCCCTAAACGATATTAACAGCCAGAGAAACGAGTCCCTGGAAACGCTTTCCTCTTCTTCCCCTTTTTTTCCTCTTTTCGAGTCAATGAACAGGCAGCGAGCGGCGGTTTCTGCGGCACCAGTGCCATCTGCTGCCCCGCCCCGGCAGCACAGAAGCCGCACGGAACTTTCCTCACTGAAGTGTCCAAATAACAGCAAAGCAAAATATTTTTTTTTTTTTTTAATTTCTTGGGGGACAGCCCGATCCCACAGCATGCCCTGCAAAGCTCCTGCTGGCCGAGCAGGTCAGTAATATTTACGTGACATTTTCCATCAGAGAGGTTCTAAAATCCTGGCTTTCTCTGCTGTAGTGAAAAAGGATAAAACCAGCACAGGGAAAAAAACTGGTATGATTCTGATTAAGTGCGGCCACTAATGTAAACAGTGAAGTGGGAGGCTGTCAACTTGCTCC